AAAGCTGACGACCATGATCACCCACCAAGGTTTCCCGCACCTCCCGCTCAGCTCTGCTCACCTCGGCCGAAACGCATCGGTGAGACGGTGCCGGGACTGCCACAGCCATGGGGGCCGCCACGGCGTGGCCATGGTGAGCACCTTCTGCCACAGGCATGGTACCTGTCCTGCTCACCGGAGCTCCCGTCCAACTTGCTCCACTTTGTTGCTCTCAAACTGACTTTCACACGAGCATCAGGAGTGCGATGCGGGGAAGCAGCCGAGCTCAGCCCCAGCGCGGCGGGTCTTGGCAGCCAGCCGGTGTGGTGCCCTGGAGTCCTGCACGGGACTTCGCTGGTGGAGTTCATATCTCTTCCCGGGAACTGCCAAGGAAGAAGCACATGTACCGCGGGAGGCGTTGGGGCTGCCGGGGGGTTGTGCTGTGCTCCCTGCTGAAGAGGAGGGCTTCATGTTGGGGAGCGCTGGGGCTCTATTAGGGAGCTGAAATGCCAGATAATTAGAAATACACCAGCAAACACCATTATCGTCAGGAGAATGCAATCGCATACAGTAATGAAGCAATTATTAATGAGCTACTGCAAGGCTGTCATTAATTTAAGCTTTTCAGGATCACAGACTAAGGCAAGTTAAATGTTAAAACAGAGCCGGGGCTGGGCCGAGCGGGGCTGAGTGGGGCTATTCCCCCGCTGCGGGGTGGGCAGAGCAGGGCTCTCCCGCCCACCCCTCCCCAGGTGAGATGTCCTGCGCGCCCGCAGCGCCCTTCCCAGCCCCGTGCCCTCCCCGCCTCCATTGCCCGGCTGCGCAACGGCACCAACAAGGGGAACCCTTCGCCCTGGTGGTGGCTCTGCAGAGGACGGCAACAGGGATGGGGACAGGGCCGGGGATGGGGACAGGGCTGGGGTGCTGCCCCATCCTGCAGCGGCACAGGCGAGATGCCGGTGGCTCTGTGGCATAAGTGCCGGGTTTGTTCGGGGACGGTGCAGCCGGGAGCCGCTCCCGCACCAGCGCGCAGCCCCGCGCTGCAATCTGTCACGGCGGCTGGGGCTCGCCGGCTCTGCAATATGTACCTCATGTCTGGGCTGTCATCGGACATAATTCCTCCCTGCTGGCATATTGCTGATTTGTGCATAAGTGATGCATGCAATCCACCTGAGCTAGGAGTCAGGGGTTTCTTGATCTGGGGCTGTCAGGGCAGAGTGTTTTAGTGCCTCCTGCGATTAGCTGGAATTGACAGGCCC